ATATATATATATATATGTGTATATATGTATATGTATATATATATATACACCTGTAAATATCATAAACGATTGTTGACACACAGATTATTTTCTGTAATTATTTGGAAACTAATGGAAGAAGGTGATTGGCTGTTTGTGGAGGGAACCAGTGATGATGACTTCCTGTTTGACTACAGAAACACGTCATCCTGCAGTTCTCTATTTAACCTCTGAACCTCAGACTAAAGAGAATCTTCTTCTTCTTCTTCCTCTTCTCCTGTCATCGTTGTGTCTGCAGGTCTCTGCTTACAGGTGAAGCTGCAGAGATGTTTGCCGTTCAAACACAAGGTTAGAACCACAGGAGTGACTTTTAGATCATCTCTGCTCGTGTTCATGTTATTACAAACATCCAGATACAGACAGATCAGAGGTTCTCATCCCGACTGTTCATCAGACGACACGTCGCCCTCTCTCTCATGGTCCACTGGACATTCAGAGCCTCTCTAACGGCCCAAAAATGCCAAATTATCTCCATTAAAATAAACGCTGAATGGCCTTTTATCAGCTGCTGTCTGCCGTGTACCGGGGATGAACAGACTGCTGTCCCTGGACCTCTGAGATACTGAAGGTCTGCAGTCATAATAAGGCTCCTTCTAACAGACTCCTAAGTTGATTTAAGGACGTTTATACGCGATGCACATCAGATATAATGGAAATCCTCAGAGTGAATCTAACGATATTCATATTCATGTCTGTGAGTCCAGATTTATACCATTTAAAGAGACTTAACCGGTGATTACATGAATACGTTTCCATGAACGCTTCACTCGTAACACAGAAAGTTTAAAGCCGACTGTCAAACATTAAAACGTGACAAACAAGAAGATTAAACTTCTGGAGTTCAGTCAGGAACAGCAATGAAGGCAGGAAGCCTTCATTGCTGTTTGTTCACCAGCCAGTTCCAGAGGTGAGAGGTCGAGCAGTGAGAGCCGATCCTGGACGGCATCAAACACACGGCGTGGAGTAGCAGCAGGTGGCGAGACGAGGAGCCTCTTGATCAGAGCAGAGGAAGCTGCTGAACATCTGCTCAACGTCATCAGCCTGTACCAGCAGCTTCTTTCCTTATTTATTATATCTTTACTGTGTGATCACTAATTTAATACGTTCGTTTCGTTTTCACTTTTCTCTTTGCTGCTGTAATCCTGCAAATGTCCCCGACCTACAAAGGATTATCCTTTCGTAACTTATCTTATCATAACTTCGTATCGTAGCTTATCGTATCGTAGCTTCTCGTATCGTAACTTCTCGTATCGTAGCTTAACGTATCGTAACTTCTCGTATCGTAGCTTATCGTATCAGAACTTCTCGTATCGTAGCTTATCGTATCGTAACTTCTCGTATCGTAGCTTATCGTATCAGAACTTCTCGTATCGTATCGTATCGTAACGTATCGTATCGTAACGTATCGTATCGTAACTTATCGTATCGTATTGTAGCTTATCGTAACGTATCGTAGCTTATCGTATCGCAACGTATCGTAGCTTATCGTAATTTATTGCATCGTATCATAGCTTATCGTATCGTAGCTTATCGTATCGTAGCTTATCGTATCGTAACTTATCGTATCGTAACTTATCCTATCGGAACTTATCGTAGCTTATCGATGTGATAGATCTCCATTTATTTCTGAAGATATTTTACAGGTTATGTAAATATCAATAATGGTGAACAGAACTTTATAGACTCGATATCAACACTTCATATGTGCAATAATGTGAATCCTTCAGTCAGATTATGTCGTGTTCTCGTGTTTCTTTATGGATCTGTTGTTGTTTAGGGTTCGGCTCACAACATATTTATATGTTTTCTGTTGTTTTGTACCGTCACCAGTTTACATGATTAACTCTTTTGTCTTATTTCTCTGTTGGTCTGTTATTCCTCATTATGAACGTTTATATTTAATTGAACTCATTTAATAAGTTGTACTCCTCATTAACATCCGCTGTTTTTATTTCTCTTCTCAGTTGGAGATCTACATTTCAGAGGGAACTCACTCCACTGAAGAAGACAGTGAGTTCATCTTCTCTTCTTATTCAGCTTTGTCTCTTTCAGTTGAACATGTACTGAAGTAGATAACGTCTATTAGTGACGAGACTTTCTACACAATGAAAGCTGTGTCGCAGCGGATTCTGAAGTGTTCGTCGTGACTCCAGACTGAAGTCTAACAAGTGAAGTTTTGTGTCTCCAGTCAATAAGCAGATCAACGATAAGGAGCGAGTGGCGGCCGCCATGGAGAACCCCAACCTGAGGGAGATCGTGGAGCAGTGCGTCACCGAGCCCGACGACTGACGGAGGAAGCTCCGCCCACCTGGGAGGGGCCTGCAGGTGTAAACCAGAGGACTCGCTCTGGGAAGTTTGGAGGTTTTATTGTGGAGCGTCTCTGATGAGGATCATGAATACTGAGTCGGGATGGAAGCCGGACTGATGAGTGCGTTGACTGCGAAATGGTTTCACAATAACGGCTCTAAAGTGAGACTGTCGAGTGTCAACATGGAGGAAAAACCTAATATTTGTTCAGTCAATGATCTTTAGTTTGTGAATTATAACAAAGTTTATTTTTAGGTCTCAGGCCAGGAGACCACCTCTGGTTCTATAAAGACTTGGAGTCAAACAGACCATAAAGCAGGGGATGCTTTAGGGCGGGGCTACACAGTGATTGACAGGTCTCTACCAGAGAGTTATACGGCGTCTCTACGTCACTCCTCCTCAGTCCAGATATGGTCACTTCCTGTTTACTGGTTTCTAAAAAAGCCAAGATGGCGATGATCAGAATGCGATGGGTTCATGTTAACACCATCACTTTTTATTATTTTTGACAAAAATAAATGTGTTTTTGGACAGAAAGCTGAATTAGCTGCGATGCGTTCTGCTACAGAGAATCTAAACGCTGTCGGGAGTCCGTGTGTCGGGGTTTAAAGATGACTTAAAGATTATTTTAATAAATAAAGAAGATGTATGAAAAATGAGAAGCTGCTTTGAGTCGTGTTTGATTCACTGAATAATATGTCTTTGGATCTTTGATCTTTGATCTTTGTTTAATGGCCACTTCTTTACCCGTATACACACATTATTATTATCATTAATATTAATATTACTGTTATTAAACACTAAAAGAGACACATAATATTCTACACCTGAAGTGAAAATAACGTTATAATGTTACTGCACTGAGTACTTTTACTCTCATTACTTTGACAGCGAATATCAAACACCTGGTATCTGACTAATGAAGGTACACCTGGTACCTGATTCATGAAGGTACACCTGGTATCTGACTAATGAAGGTAAACCTGGTATCTGATTCATGAAGGTACACCTGGTATCTGACGAATGAAGGTAAACCTGGTATCTGATTCATGAAGGTACACCTGGTATCTGATTAATGAAAGTACACCTGGTATCTGACTAATGAAGGTACACCTGGTACCTGATTAATGAAAGTACACCTGGTATCTGACTAATGAAGGTAAACCTGGTATCTGACTAATGAAGGTACACCTGGTACCTGATTCATGAAGGTACACCTGGTATCTGACTAATGAAGGTAAACCTGGTATCTGATTCATGAAGGTACACCTGGTATCTGATTCTTGAAGGTACACCTGGTATCTGATTCATGAAGGTACACCTGGTATCTGACTGATGAAGGTACACCTGGTACCTGATTCATGAAGGTACACCTGGTATCTGATTCATGAAGGTACACCT